AAAAAGAAACAAAACCGACAATAAGTAATAGAATTTTACTACCGAAAGAAATTACAATACCTTTTTTAAATCTAAGAAGAAAACAAGAATAATATTCTCTCTAAAAAATAATAAAACTTAACTATTATACAATACACTAGTAGAAAGGAGAAGAAAGAGGTTTGAAGTAATTTACAAGATAAACTTCCTTTTATAACAGAAAAAATAAGCACTAATGTATAATTTTCAGTAATGTGAAACTTCTCTTATTACATTCTCACGAGAAAAACTATTATATATTAAATGGTTAAATAGAGTAGATGCTAAGTTTAATAATAATAAGAAAGAATATTTAAATCTTAGATTTCATCCATCATTTCTACTATAATATTAGATATTTCTATATGTTAATGTTCTTTTCAATCATCAACATTGAAACAAAGAACTTTAACATCTTAATAAATTGTGATTTCTCATTTCTAACTTTATATATATATTTTTCCGGTTATTATTTTAATATATGTGTCAGTTTGTAACAATTGTTAGTTAATTTTAATAATGATTTTTGTTTTGCTATCAATGCATTGCTTTAATAATGTATATGCTCATATATGCTAATCTAATGAAGGATTTCCATTCTTGTGAGAAGAATGATGGAAAGAAGAAATATGGAGTAATAAGTTGACTAGAAACAGCAAAATTGATAAAATATCGCAACAAACGTTTTCTTTACTTTTTTTTTTTTTTTATATTTGTATATAATTATTTCCTTACAACTAATCCACAAATAAAAAACTACTTTTAAAAAAAATTATATTTCAAAATAATTTACATATCTTCATAATATTATTTTAAATAATAATATAATTAAATCTAAATCTAAATAAAATACATATTTTAAATAAAATAATTTGTTAATATATTTTAAATTGAGATAAATATTTCAAAAAATATAAATAATTTATTTAATTAAATAGATAATATTTTTTACGATATTTAATATTTTTAATTAATAAATAAATAACTTTCATTTTTTTCATATTTAATATCTACTAGGTTAATGTTCACATAATCAATTATTTTTCAGATTAATCAAAATTAGAATTATAAAACTTAAAAATAATTAAACATAGTATTAATAAATTAAATAAATCACAATATTATCATATTTTTAGAAAATAAATATTAAAAATAAATAAAATCTACAAGAATTTGTTAGAAAAATTAATAATAATCACTACTATAATTAAACAACATTAGAAATATTTAATTATTAAACTAACAACGTTTATCATAAAATAACAATACTCTCTAATTAAAGAAATAAATTATTTATAATTTGAAAAAAATTTATTTCAGTTTAAGCTAATTTTAAAATATATGAAAGATTTATTTATTTAAAATAAGAAATTTATTTAGATATAGATTAAAATATACTATTATTCAAAATAAATTTGAAATTATTTTGAAGTATTTTTTTAAAATTTAATTAATTTTTTATTTTTGATTATTTGAGAAGAAATATTTAAAGAGAGAAATAAGAAAAAAAAGAGGGAAAGTGATATGATAAAATAATAATAATAATAATAATAATAATAATAATAATAATAATAATAATAATAATAATAATAATAATAATAATAATAATAATAATAATAATAATAATAATAAAGTATTATTGGATAAAAAGAGTCAAAAGAAAAGAAAAAGGTAACGCATGAAGAAAGAGGTAAACTAGGGAGTGAAGATTTTATTGAGATGCTTGGAAGATAGTGTGGAGAATTGGCACCTGATCTAAATTCAGACATATATCAGAATTGGTTCATTAGTAATTCGCAACTGGTGTTGTGGTCCGTCTTATAAATCCATATATTCATCAATCATAAACCATAAATCCTTATGTTTTTAATGTGAGCAATCTTTTCCCAGTCTTCACCTTGTTTCTTGCAGCGCTGTTTGAGCAACGGGCAGTCTGTAATATGGAGAGTTGAAATGGATTTGGGCAGACCCTCCTCTGGCAAGCATTGGAGTATAGGACACTTACGAAGAAACAACTCCTCAAGAGAGGAGAGCTTAGAGAGACCATTGTAGTCCAGCTTTTTAAGATTTGGACAATCATATATTGTTAGAGTAGTAAGAGAGAGTTGGAGCGAACCTTCACCTGGAAAAGACTCCACATCCACTTCTGAAATAAACAAGGTTTCTAGGGAGGGGTTGGCTCCCCAAGCCTCTTTCAGTGACGCAACAAGTTTAGAGCAATTCGAGAGACGCATACGTTTTAGATTTGATGGGAAACATCCATCAGAGAACTCCACTCCTGGACAATCGCTTATCCACGTATCAGTAAGAGATGGAAGGAGTTCAGGCATGTGTTCCGGCAATGATTTCAAATTCTCCAAATTTGCAATATAAAAGTTCTGTAACTGCGGTGCAGATAACCCTTCACTGGGAAATGATTCAAATTGAGAGCAAGTTTGAATGGTCAAATTCTTCAAATGATTATGAGGGTGCCCCTGTGATATCTTCTGTAGGTTACGACACCTACATAGAGTAAGTTCGCAGAGTTTTGGAAAGAAATCTAGAGCAAAGTTCGTCAGAAAGTCCCAACCACCCTTGATATTCAATTTTACAATAAAGTCGTAGCAATGGTTTTGGGGAAGATTCATGTTCGGACATAAAATAATCAAGACTTCAAGAGGAGTAGTATGAGATATGATATGCCCAAGCCTTTCAAGCAACGATGCCTCCATGTTCTCACCCTTAATCACGAGCCTTTTCAAAGTAGTTGGATGATGATCAATTTCCAGCTTTCCACAATTTACCAGCTCTAATTCACAAATTTCAGGGGTCCTGGGAGCAGGAGTCACAAGTTGTTTGCAGTCCTCAATAAGTAGCTTCTTTAAGTGACAAAGTTGCTCTGGCAAGTGCTCTTTCAGCTTGGGACAGTTCTTCAAAGCAAGACTTTTAAGATTTGGAAAAGCACCCTTCATGCATTGCCATTCTTCCCATTCCTTCATATTAGAGAATTTCAACATTTTCAAGGATGCAAATGAAGAAGAGCTATTCCCGTAAAATTCAGCATCAATCCTCTCTATCCAATCAAGCCCCTTAATTTTCAGATGCTTAAGAAATGTCAAAAGTCCAAGGGAAGGCAACCATAGGCAATGTCTACAGTTCTTCAACCTTAAGGAAACCACATTCGATAATGAATTATCAGATAACCAACGTGGAAATTGTGTGCCACCATACTCACTGATCGACAAATGCTTCAAATATCTGGAAGGTTGCAGATTCTCAAGTACTTCTCTTTCTTTCACTGAATTGTCAATATTCCGCTCCGCATCCCATTGTAAATGTAGCTTTACCAGATGTGCTTTATTCTTCAAATCTGCTGCCAAAGCATCCAACGGATTCACAGTATTGTGCAGAAACATAATGAATAGCTCCCCATGAAGTCTGAGTTCTCCTAGCTGCTGGATACGTAACTCGCTACTTTTCCCAACATTGAACGGAGTCATCAATATTTGAAGATTCTTCAATTTTCCTATATGCATCGGAACCTTTCTCACGCTATTTCCCCTAAGTTCAAGACGAAGCAAATTGGTGAGTTTATGAAGATCCGAGGGCAGCTCTTTCAAATGCTTACAATCGTTCAGCTTCAATGTTTGTAAGTTATACAGTGAACATGTTGAGTCAGGCAGTTTTTGAATCCCAGTGCTTGAAAGGTCTAAAGACCGGAGAAGTATAAGATCACCTATAGTGTCAGGTACCTCTTCAAGGGTACGACAACCATTAAAAGATAAAATGCGTAAGAACTTCAACTTAAATATCAATTCATGTACCCAAGTCTCACATTTCCAATACAGTTTACTATGTACGGGAAAAAATGTTCGTAGCCTCTTTACATTATATGAACACTCATACCGAAAATAATATTGATCACCATCAATTACACATGACAAGTGGCGTGTTGCCTTCGTTATACTCTCTTCTCTATCAACTCCCAATCTGAAACAGATGTCACCAGCAACATATTTCGCCAAATCGTTAAGAAGGTCATGCATGACAAAACATGATTTGGTGCTACTGGATTGTCCAAAGAAGGACCTTGATAATAGATCATCGAAGTACTGTTGACCAACTTCTTCTTGAGACTTACTCTGTTGAGAGCATTGTAGAAAATTTTCGGCCATCCGTAAGTGAATTAATTTCTCCTTGACAAACTCATGATCTTTAGGAAATATGGCACAGTAAGAGAAACATCTCTTGAGATGAGAAGGAAGATGGTAATAGCTCAACAATAAAGCAGGGATGATTTTACTATCTTCTTCAGGGAACTCCCATATCTCGCTTCTCAATACACTTTTCCATTCTGAAATAGATGACTTGGAGCGCAAAAGAGATCCAACTGTTTCCAAGGCTAGAGGCAATCCTTTGCACTTTTCAACTATCTTTGTACCAATCTCCTTCAGCTCAGCATTCGTTTGCGGATTGTCATCTTGGAATGCATGTTTAGCAAAAACTTGCCAACTGTGATCTCCACCTAATTGCTTCAGTTCATGAACTTCATTCGATTGCACGATCGAAGCAACTTTGTTACTGCGTGTGGTAACAATAATTTTACTTCCCTTAACCCCATAATTGAGAGGAGTTTGGAAAGATTTCCATTTCTCTCGGTCTTCGTTCCAGACATCATCCAGAACTACAAGAAACTTCCTACCAATCAGTTTTTCTGTCAATCTTCCTTGAACCATTTGTAGGTCTTCACTGTCATCTTTCGATTTAGTGATTTCCCCAATAATTGCTTTTGTTACTGTCAAAACATCAAATTCATCTGAAACACAGACCCAAACTTTGATTTCAAATTTGCCCTCCTCCATTCTCGAGTCATTGTATACATGCTGGGCAAGTGTGGTCTTACCCAGCCCACCCATGCCCACCAAAGAAAGTATTGATAGTTTGCTATGCATGTCAGTGTTAGAAGTCATCCATTTGAGGATCATTTCTTTTTCATCATCTCTTCAATAAATAACATTTTCAACCACCAATGATGTTGATTGCAATTTCTGTGACACTTTATTACGCAACCCGGATCCAACACCACTAGAAATTTTAAAATTTTGAACAACCTTTTGATTTAAGAGGGATTCTAGTTCATCTAGGACTTCTATCATCTTGGATTCAAAACTGCGTACCTTGCTTGCACTGATCTGGATTTCAGCTTCCAACTCACATTTGGAGAATTCATAGTCTATTTCATCCAAAAGATCCTCTGCATCAAGCAACACGTCTCTGACCTCGTCAAGCCATGCTTTGACCAGGAAATTACTGAACTGCTTTTGTTCTGCATCATCAATCACAGCATTGATGTCCATCAGCTTCCTCTTCAACTTTTTCAGCAGCTTCTCATCGAGCTCTCTTCGACAAAAGTAGTCCAGAACTTGACGAGAATCCAGCTTGTCAAATAGCACCTGAAGAACAGCACCAAAAAGAGCACCACCAAGTGTTTCTAGCACTGGCATGATTGGAAAGAAAGTGGTGAATCTGTAAAGAAGATAGGATTCTGAAAATTGGTAGTGCAGCTTAGTTACGCCCGAAGGACTAAGGGTGAATGCAGATAGAGCAGAGGTAATAGTTGTTGAGTCTTCCCGACAACCAAAGTCAATGGCGTGTATGGGTTCTGCAAAATATAAGATATGATATAGGTAGTGGGATGTTTATTTGAATGAAATAATATATTATTAATAAATATAAAAAAAATAAGATAAAAAAAATAAAATTATAAATATATTTAAATATATTAAATTTAAGAGAATAAAATTATAAATTATATAAAAATTATAAAATTAAAAAAAATTAAGATGATAAAATTATAAATATATAAATATATTAAATATTTATTATTTTTTTTAAAATAAAATTATAAATTCTCACCACAGTTTAAAAATTTTAAGATGAGACCGTCCTTACCTCCAAAAAAATATCCGTGTCACTGGATACATGATGCAGATTTCTTTGATTTTTATTTGGGTGGTCTGACATATTTCATGTGATAATTCAATTATCACTGTCCCTACTCGCTTTCTTAATAGAGTGTAGCACTTAAATGATTGGCTAGTGCAAATAATATTTCAGGTTTAATTTAGATTAACAAATGAAGAACCTGTTAAATATTTGACAGAGTTTCATGTTTAATTGGAATGAAATAAAAGGTAAAAGGTATTTGTCTATCTATTTATATATATATATATATATATATATATATATTTATATATAAGATATTTTCTTTTTTTAACTTTGATATATATAAAATAAAGATGGCAAGAGAGTGGAGAGAAAAAAGAGAATAAAAACGAAAAGAGAATAAATACGTTAGAATAATACAAGAAAAATGTGTAACACATAACAATAGAGATATAAAATATATAAAAAATAAAAATAATTATTTGTTGACGTAGGAGGAAAAAGAATAAATATATAAAAATAGTAAAAAAATGTGTCATTAAATATAAAGTAGAGATGATAAAAATGTATAAAAAATAAAATAAAAATAAAAATATAAAAAATATGGATAAATGTGGACACAGAAACGTTAGAGCACTTGTATTTTCACTAATAAATATATATAAATATATATATATATATATATATATATATATATATATATATATATATATATATATATATATATATATATAAATGAGGATTCCTTCTTCTAACTATGTAATCACATCGAGAAGAAAAAAGTATTATATATAAAATTAGTAGAGAAATAAGGTGATATCCAATTCAGTGGAGAGAAAAAAAGACTGTAACTGCTTTTGATCTAACATAAAAGAGAGAAAAGAAAATAGACATATAATAAATAAATAATATATATATTTAAAAGATGATGAAATAAATAAATAAAATAAAATAAAATTTAAAAATATATTTTAATAAAATAATTACATAAGAAATGTTTTCATTGGTTTATATAAAATAGTTTGATGTTTTCCCTTGTGTATTTCATTTTCTATATATTCTTGAAACTTGGGCTTAAGTAGCTCCTCTGCATCTCAATTACCACCTGAACCGCAAGGTCTTCGAAAGGCTCCGGTAAGTTCATCATCTCTCTGACGGATTCAGGTTTCATCATCTCTCTGACAGATTCAGGATTTTGTATCAATTCCATGGAAAGAACAATATATAAGGCAAGATCTTTATTCAGAATTTTACTACAACATGGAGCGTAATTAATGATTTTAGCAATTGTTGCATGTAAGCAGGAATAGACTGATGGAGTGTTACTTTGGAAGGAAATGGATGCAACCACAAGTAGTATCGTTGCATGTAAACTTAACTACAATATAATATAACATTGGTTTATCTTCCATAAATTAAAAGTTATAAAAGATGTGGAATTAACTGAATTTTTTATTTAATTATTTACTAACACTTTTACTCTTTAAGTAAAAAATAATATATCAATGACATTAATTTGTTCTCTAAGACTTTTGAATATTTTAAACTTCAAAGTTTTTATTAAAATGTAATCAAGTAGTATCTCAGCAATGCTCAATCTCTAATTATTTATTTGAAATTTATTCACGGATGAAATAAAATTTGGTCTCAATGTGCTTGCTTCTATCATGAGAGATTGGATATTTGTCAAGATCTGTTGCAAATTTGTTATCAATCAACAACTTCAATTTACATGTTTGTTTTACCTTTAATTCCTTTATAGTGAACTCAATCAAATTGATTGACAAGCTGCTTCAGAGGCAATTATATACTTAGTTTCATAAGATGAGAGAGTCACCATTGATTCCTTTGTAAAGCTCTAAGAAATTGGTGTCTCTCCAAGGAAGAACATGTATCCAACCGTGCTCTTTTTATCACTCTTGTCACCATATCAATCAGTATCAGAATACACCCATAAACTCATTATCCCTTTTTATAGCAAAATTCTCAGATTTTCAGTTTCATGTAGATATCTAATTACTATGCGCTTCACAGCAAGAAGGTGTGATACTTTTGGTTCTTGTATATATTTACTCACCAATCCAATACTAAAATTCAAATATGGTCTAGTGTTACACAGATACCTTAAACTTCCAACAATACTTCAGTATTGTATAGGATCAACCCCCTATTCATTAGGATTTTTCTCAAGCTTCAATCCTACTTCTGCAGGTGTGTTGGCATGATTATTTTACTACATTCCAAATTTGTTCAACATGTTACAAACATACTTTATTTGATGTATATCAACTCTTCATTGTTGTCAGTGATCAAAAGATCATCAACTTTGTTTTTGTTCTCCCATACTTTTACATAGACTTCATGTTCGGACATACACTTAACAAAACCAATTTTGTCAAGAAAACCACAAATTTGCTTGTTCCATGTTCTCGGTGCTTGTTAAGCGCACATAAGGCATTTTTCAACCTATACACTTTATGTCCTTCACTCTTATGTTAAAACCCCTAGGTTATTGCACATAAACCTCTTCTTTAAGAGGGTCATTCAGAAAAATTGATTTAATATCAAATTGGTGTAAAGATCAGTTAGCATTCGTGACAATATTAATCACCAATTTGATGGTTTCGATCCTAGAAATAGGCTCATAAACTTCATCATAGTCTATTCCAACTCTCTGCAAGAAGCCTTTGGCTACAGACCTTGCTTTGTATCTCATAATCTCACCCTTTGGATTTACTTTAATCTTATAAATCCACTTGAATGCGATTGGTTTCTTGTCTGGTGGCAACTTAACAAGCTCCTAGGTCTAATTCCTTTCAATTGAATCAATCTCCTCCTGCATAGTTTTCCACCAATGAACCTCTCTGGTTGCATATTCAAATATGATTGACTTAGACTCTGCAGTGAGTGCAAAAAATACTAGATTTCCCTCTGTTGACACAGTTGAGTCACTAAACATTTCATAATCACAAATATGATATGGGAGTTATGTAACTCTAGATGATGTTCTCGCACAATGATCAACAGGTCTATTTTGTTCCACTAGATTCTTATCTTCAAATAACACTTTGGAAGCATTTGAATTCTCTTTGGTGGTTGTCCATGTCCAATTAGTTGACTCATCAACAAAGACATCCCTACTAATTGACACTTGTTTTGAGATGAGGTCAAATAGTTTGTATCCACTTTTCACATGACAACCAACCAAAATTTGTGGTGTATTTTTATCTGCTCAAGCACATGCTTATAACACACTAACCCGAATATTCTAAGGTGTGACACAACAGGCTTAACACCTGTCCAAGCCTCTTCAAGTGTCATCATCTCCTAACGCTTGTTGGGAGACCTGTTCAACACATGACAACTGCTTCTCTAAAAAAAAAACTTGGCAAAGACTTGCTTTTCAATATGCAATAGATCATATTCAACAAAGTTTGGTTTCTACACTCAGCAATATAGTTGTGTTGAGGAGTTTACAATGGAGTAAACTTATGGATGATGTCTTTTTTCTCACAAAAGACACAGAATTCGGATGAGACATATTCACCTTTACCATCAGATCGCAATACCTTTATCTTGTTAGAATCGCGTAGCGGAATGTTCGCATGGTCGGACAAAAACCAAGAGGGGGGTGCATTAGTTTCTTAATAAAAATTAGGTTTTCAAAATTTTCCCCAAATTTTACCGATTAAAAAACTGTGTAAATGTAAATAGAGAAAGAGATAGAATCTTACACAGGAAATTTATACTGGTTCGGATCAAAAGACCCTACGTCCAGTTGCTAATCACTCATACAGAGGATTAACGCTATCACTATGATCAAAGTTGTTACAAACAAATTACAATGAAAAGATAAAGATAAGAAAACACCTCTCTTGAAATCCACAAGAGATGATGAACAACTTTCCCTAGAGACGGCACAACACACAATCCACTAAGAACTCCACTTAGTGATTCTTATCGCTTCTAGCCCACACCAGGTTCCAAAAGCCCCCTTTCCTTGCAACAAACAGTTCTCTGGCACTCACAACACTTAACTTTTGTATGGAAAAGGTTGTTCTATTTGTCTGAGTGTCAAAGAAGAGTTTAAGTAAAGAAATTAGGGTTTAGGAATTGGGAATTTCGAAACTAGGGTTCTTGAGAATAGGGTTTTCGAAAATAGGTTTGATTTGAAGTTAAAACCCAAAATCTGACTGGTTTAATCGACTAAAAGAAGTGTTAATCGATTAAACCAGAGCAAAAAATCAACAGAACCCAAATCTCTCTGTTTTAATCGATTAAAAGGAGGTTTAATCGATTAAACCGCCTGATAATCGATTAAACCAGTGAGTTGTTACAGAAAATGATTTTTCTCACTGTTTTAATCGATTATTTCCCTATTTAATCGATTAAAGCCGAGCCTGGATGATAAACTTGAGCTTTTTGAAGCTTCTAAGGTTCAGACTATGTACCGGCTATCTCAAACACTAAAATTACATACTCAATCTAATTAATACAGAGTTATTACACTACAAAACAAGTCTTCAACACTCTAAGTCTTTGTGTTCTTGAATCATCATCAAAATCAACAATCTTCATGTTCATCAAGTGCAACATCAAGTCCTTGAATGTTCAACAATCTCCCCTTTTTGATGATGATCAAAATTATCTTTTAAAGCCTTGTAATAACTTGTTTTATCACGTCATACTAACAAACACATTAAACATACCGAGATAATATTTAAATGCAAATCATAAGAGGCTTTAAATATTTCTCCCCCTATTTTGATTATAATCAAAAATAACTCTGCAATAACAATCATAAGAGCTCCCCCTCAAAATATGCATACTTTAGATAAAGCTCCCCCTCAAACAAAGCAATAACAAAACATCACATTTTATTTCAGAAAAGTCAATACATTACATCACAAGAGGAGAAAACAAACAACAAATTTAAAATTCTTCACTATCATCACTATGAAAGTGTGCATCAAATCTATTTTCTAAATGGCACACTTTATCATCTACATCAGATATACGGCGAATTAATTCCTCATGCCGTACTCCAGAAAGAGTGAAGAATGATTGCATCCTCTGATTCATGTCAGATAACATGTCTTCCATGGATTGTCGGGTTTCATGATGAGTAGAGGAAGTTCCAACACTTTGGATTTGATCAGAGGGAAACTCAGCAGCTGGAGGCATATCTTCATCAGAATCTTCATTAGCATCACCTTGATTAGGAACGTCATCTTTGTGAACATAAATATCATTGACACGCACCATTTGGAGTTGAATCAATGTGCTGTCCAGCATGCGGTTCAAGTTATTTGTTCTAACTGCTTGTTCACCTTCAACATTCACTCCTTTATATTTAAGAATACGAGAGACAAGTAAAGCATATGGAATTTTGAATGTGGGATGACGTTTTGCTTTTAACATGGTCATTGTGACAAGAACGCCCCAATCTAAAGGTTCATTATTCATTCTGGCATGAATAATTCTAAGATCAATTGAAGAACATTGGACATGATTTGTAACCCGAGGACATAGGATCCAGACAATTAGATGTACAATCATGCGTTCCTCCTTCTTTAAAGGTCTAGCAAGAAGGAGACGTCCAATCTCCATGGAGGGATTTCGCAGAAAAGAACGGTAAGCTAAGAACCTGTCAAAATCATCTAACTCACCATAAATGTTAATAGCATCGTCTCTAGTTGGAAAGTGAGCGACGTTTTCCCAAATATCATCGTCAAGAATAATTGTGACACCCTTTACTCTAGAAGTAGCAATTTGATCTCTAAATTTAAATCTAGAGTAAAATACCCTAACCAAGTCCGGATAATAAGTACCTTGCATTTGGATGAAGGGAAGAACTCCTTGAATTTCAAGAAGGTTGGGAAAATTGAATCCCCTATTGATGAATTGCTCACCAATAAGAAACTTGGGAGAAATAATAGCCCTTTCCTTCCAGTAGGTCAGAAATTCTTGTTGGTCATCTGTATCAGAAATCCATCCTTCTACAGAATTAGGACAGGTTCGAGATGAGGGTGCATATCTTCTTCTAGTAGGGATCTTAGCACGAGAAGATGAGGCCATTTGAAGGATTAAGAGAATAACAAGAAGATTTAGGAGGGTAAGGTAAGTTAGAAGTAAGCAAGATTGCAAGAATAAGGCAAGATAGCTTGATTTCAAGAGATAGAAGTGAGTAGAAGTAAAATAGAGATCCCT